CAGACCGGGGTATGTTTTGGCCAGGTAACGCTGGATCTTCTCCCCCAGGTACCCAATGACGAATACAAAATCATTGACCCCTGCTTCCAGCAACTGATCGATGATCACACTCAGGATCGTACGGCCCGCCATCGGGATCAATGCTTTTGGCTGTGTGTACGTGAGTGGTCTTAGCTTGGTGCCGGCACCGGCAACTGGGATAATGGCTTTCAAAACAGGATATTTTTTTAGATGGGTTGCTATCTGGTGAAAATAAAAAATCCTGCCTTAACTGCGTACTAATAATATGCAGGCATGGATTTTTTCAATTGTCTTTAAAACCAGCGGCGACCCATGGAATCAATTGCGAAGGTAAGGCTAACGAAAAGGAAGTTAAAGTCTATAGTAACCGATACGGCGAAAAGCGCAGCGGCAATTAACCTGGTGTATGTAAGCGACCGGGATGAAGGCATTGCCCGCACCGGCAAAGCTCAAAAATTCAGCTATCTTTTGCAGGGTAAAAAGGTTACCGACAAGCACTTACTGGCCCGCATCCGATCGCTCGTTATCCCACCGGCCTGGAAGGAAGTGTGGATCTGCACCCTGGAAAATGGCCATTTACAAGCTACCGGTATTGATGTCAGCGGGCGCAAGCAATATAAATATCATCCGCACTGGACACAGCTGCGCAACCATACCAAATTTTATCACCTGTACGAGTTTGGACAGGCATTGCCCACCATCCGGCAACAGCTGGAAAAAGACCTTGCAAAACAAGGCCTTCCGATGGAAAAAATACTGGCGCTGGTGGTTTCCCTGATGCAGGAGACGGGCATACGCATTGGCAATAATGCCTATGAAAAACGTTACGGCACATTTGGGTTAAGTACCCTGAAAAACAGGCATGTGCAGATAAACGGGCACAACATCCGGATGGCATTCAAAGGTAAAAAAGGAATCTACCAGGACCTTACGCTCAAGAGCCGCAGGCTCGCCAGGCTGGTCAAACAATGTAAGGAAATACCGGGCAAGGAACTGTTTCAGTATTATGATGAAACCGGCAATACACATACCATTGACTCCGGCATGATCAATACCTATATCAAAGATATTTCAGGCGGCCATTTTACCGCCAAAGATTTCCGTACCTGGACGGGTAGTGTTCATGCATTATTAGCATTGCATCATCTTGGTTGTGCGGATACCCTTACCGAAACCAAACAACGTGTTGTGGCGGCGCTGGATACTGTTGCAGGACAGTTGGGCAATACACGCACCGTATGCAAAAAGTATTATGTTCACCCGGCCCTGCTGGAACTTTATGAATGCCGGGCAATCGAAAAATACCTGAAAGTGCTGGATGATTCTCCCGGCGAAACCCAGGCTCCTGATCTTCACCCGGAGGAACAGGTATTGATGACCATTTTACAAAAAGCCTGATGCTGGTTTAAGAAAGATCCTATTGGCTTAGCACCGCTTTCTACCATCCAAAATAAAAATTAAGTCCTGATCCTTCATTCCATGACTTTCTGATGACAATCGATTGCGGGTTTCGCGGAAGTTGGGCGTAGCTTTGCGCCGTCAAACCAAAAAAAGAACCATGAAGTACCGCTTTTGTATTGCGCTATCACTGTTGGCACTGCCTGCGCTTGCACAAACTGAGAAGGCTGCGATGAAGCCCAATGACACGCTTGTCTACCATGATGAGCAACATTTTAAAAACCTGCGTCAGTTGACTTTCGGTGGCGATAATGCAG